CGCTGATTGGCTGCGGCGCGGGGAGCGCATGCTGCTCCCGCCCCGCGGCGGGATGCGGGAGCGGCCTCGGCGGGGCTGGGAAATGCAGAACCGCCCCGGAGCGAGTCACGCTGGGTTGGAGCAGCGAGTTGTTGGCTGAGATTGGTTTGCTGACAGGGTTTTCTTGGTGCTCGTTGTCAAAGGAGCAGGTGCGCAAATCACAGAACCATAGAATGTTAAGGGGTTGGAAGCGGCCCTAGAGATCGTCCAACCCCAATCCCCTGCCATGAGCAGGGACACCTCTTACTAGACCAGGATCAGCCCATACGCCTTCAAATAAACTGTGCGGTTTGGGGGCAGCTTGTGTAGGTAAACTATGTCTTCAGCTTTATGGGGAAATAGCCACCTTTTGTAAAACTCCTAACAGAACTGTGTTCAATAAGCGTTTCATACTGATACTAAGTTTGGACTATGGCTGCAGTACTAACGCAACACTGACCCTTCAGCAGTTTCACTTGTAAAAACAATACTTTTACACTTCTCTAGTATCAGTTTTACATTTGCTTTTAGCCTTTTTAGTATCTATAGAGAGAATCATGTTATAATCTCCGTAGATCTATTCTGAGGCTGTGGCAGTAGTAAAACATAACTTGTACCACAGTACTGCTGAATAAATCTATGTATTTTCAGTAAGTGTTAATGAAAGAACTGGTGCCTATATAACTTAGAGCAAAGTTACAATGTGCTTATATAGCTTGACTTATAAGATACCAATGTAACCTAAATCGTGACTTTTTATATATCAATATAACCTGAGATATATATATATATATATATATATATATATAACCCGATACCTATGTAACCTGAATCATAACTTTTTATACCTCTATAACCTGAATCATAACTTTTTGTACAATGTAATGGCTAGTAGATGATTGGCTAGTTGCTTAATGCTGAAAAGACAAAAGAAGAAGAAAAAACTTACCAGGTGAATAACTTTAGAGATAGGTAAGTATAGTACTAATGAAAAATTGGCAAGTGCAAAGCCAGCTAGCTACAAAACAAAGAATTTAGGCCGGTTAAGACCAGACAAACCAAGGACCACTGTAACTGTGCATGCTCCAAAGACAAAGTTGAAAAGTTCAGATGCGAGGAAGACCTTGGAAGCCTTCAAGACCCCTGACAACTCCTGAATTGGGGAGACACAAGCACAGTGCAAAAGAACTACCTAATAACCATGAGATCATGCTATGTAAATTAGTTCTGGCGTGTATATGATGATGTTATAGTGACACAGTGATACTAAGCAATACTTAGTGTATAAATACACTAGAGCACTTGACAAAGGTGGGTGAGTTAGGTGGAGATGTCCCCCTCACCACCAGATCTGCAATAAACAAATACCTGCTCTATAGACATCAGTCTATGGGGATTTATTTCCAGCCTATCTTTCAGGCATCAGAATCTATAATGTATTTCAGGAAAAGACTAATCATAATGGAACATGGTGTGTTTTTATGAGCTTTGTGCATTTATGACCTGTCTGATCTTGGCCTCTTCCTTCTTAAGTATCTAATTAAGTGTGCAAATGATTTTTAGTAGTCTATGTTTTTACAACCTCATGGTTGTCAAAATACTGGCAATGTATGCATCACTGAGCTCTGTCTCTGATGCTGAGGACTTAACAATCTCTTTGTTCTTAACTTACCTAACTCTAATACATACTTTGTTATATAGAGAACTTCATGTATTATTTTATATTACAATTTCATTAAGTCTCTCAGTAGTGCCCTTAGCATTATGACTAACACTCATTATGGTACTTTTCTTTCTTACTTTGTATTTCCAACATGTGGAGATGGGAGGCAAAATTTAATATCTTGGTCATTAGGTAATTACAAAATCATTTGCTGAAATTTTAAAATACTTTGGGTTTATTTTCATCAGCATATAAATATGCATTAATTTTTTTAAATTTGGAACAGAAAGTGGTGAAATATGAACAGATGTTGGCTTGTCTGTCTATCTACACAGTTAAATCTTTAGAAAATTCTGCCTTCTGGAAATGTTTTCTATGAAATTTTTCACGGCAGAGAATGGAGATGCAGGCCAAGATGGTGAACTGACATTACAGGCCCATCTTTTAGCTAGAGAAAGACCAAGAAATTCATATGAGGGGACACCACATAGAAATTAGAAATGTCATGAGCTACAAGTAGCTTGGATAGAGAAATGCTACAGTATTGTTGACAGGCCAAAGCAGAAGCTTCAGGCGTAGGCATGTTGCATTACCATAGTCCTGCTAAGTGGTTACAGGGGGTGAAATAGGAGCATCATTAGGTAATTTTCTTCATTTAGTACACTTAACATTTACAGAATGGGATACAATATGCATCAAAACCCTCTAAAGAGCTATACCAAGTTCTTCAAAAAGCTCTTCAGGCACACAGGAGAAAGCATATCTGTTAACTGGGTTCCTTCAATGACTGGGCTCTGAGCTGTGTGGTATTTTCAACACTCTGCCCTTTTTAGCCTCCTGGAACTTGGATACTCCCAGCTACCACAGTACCTGGAGACACCATCTGCTCCTCATCCTGCACTCCTTCCTCCTCTCACGATACTGATTCACCTATGAGCTGGAAAAGTTCACAGATTTCCTACACCCTCCCTGCTCACCCCAGATGTAAATTCATGCTCAAGCATCTGTTTCCCATTGCCCCAGGAGTTTCTGCTCATGTGCTGGGCAGCCTGGGAGGCCCAGCTCAGAGTCTTCTAGAAAAACCTTGTCCAAATGTCTGCTTCTGAAAGCTCAAGGCCCTGTGCAAATGCTGCAAGGAGCTGTGTAGGTCAGTTGCATCCATAGAGAGTGGTGAGCAGCAGCAGTGGGGGACAGCTGGGGCTGAGAAATTATGGAATCAATTAGGTTGGAAAAGACCTCTGAGATCATCAGATCCAACTGATGATAGAACATCCCAATGTCAACTACACCATGGCATTTAGTGCCATGTCCAATGTCTCCTTAAATGCTTCCAGGGATGGTGACTCCATCACCTCCATGGTCAGTCCATTACAATGTCTAATCACTCTTTCTGTGAAGAAATTTCTCCTAATGTCCAAACTAAAACTCCCCTGGCGCAGCTTAGAACTATGCCATCTTGTCTTGTCGCAGGTTACTTGGGAGAAGAGGCCGACCCCAACCTAGCTACAAACTATTTCCAAATAGTTGTAGAGAGTGATAAGGTCCCCCCTGAGCCTCCTTTTTTCCAGGTTAAACAATCCCAGCTCCCTCAGCTGTGCCTCATAGGATGTGCTCCCCAGACCCCTCACCAGCTTTGTTGCCCTTCTCTGGACTCTTCAGCACCTCAAGATCCCTCCTGAACTGTGGATTTTAGAATGGACACAGTACTGGAGGTGTGGTCTCACCAATGCCATGATGTGTTCCTTTATCTTTAGCCTTTCTGAAGTAACTTGAAAGAAGACATAACACTAAATCTGGTATGTGTACATATATAAAATGTAATCACACTGTATATGCTATGTATGTATTAGACTGTTTCATCTTGGCCAAAAGGCCATGTTTAATGGTCCTGAGGTGGGAAGTATGATAGAATCTGAGCTATAGAAGATAAATGCTGTTTTTAATCGTGTTTAACACATCTCACAGTAATTTTTAGCAGAACATATGGGGACCTCACCACCCAAGTCCTTGCTGCCACAGAGATTTCCTCAGGCAAGATGAAGCCGGAACCATGCTCCGATCTTTTCTTTCTGGCAATTAGTGCCAGGATGCCAGGACCTGAGGCAATGGCCTGAATTTGTGTCAGGGGGATGTTTAAATTAGATAACAGAAGTTTCTTCATCCGGATGGTGGTTGGGCACTGGAAGAGGCTCCCCAGGGACATGGTCACAGCACCAGCCTGGCAGAGTTCAAGAATCGTTCGGACAACACTCTCAGGAACCTGGTGTACTCTTGGGGACGTCCTGTGCAGGGCCGGGAGCCTGACTCCATGATCCCTTTGGGTCCCTTCCAACTCAGAATATTCCGTGATTCTGTGGTATGGGGGTAATTTACTGCCACTGCCGCTCAGCAGTTCCTCTGATTCCCTTTGTCCCGCCTCGCTCCGTGGCCTGCCCCGTCCCCCGCGGCCGCATTTGCCTGAACGCTGCCCATGCCCTCCCGCCGCGGCTCAGCTTAGCTGCAGGAGGCCGCTTTGGAGGGGCCGGGCTGCCGGAGCGCTTGGTGGGCGCTTCCTACGGCCCCGCGGCTCCCGCCGGGAGCGGCTCCAGCCCTTGCCGTGCCCCGACACCGAACGGCCGCGCCCCCCGGCGGCTGCGGCGGCGCGGGAGAGGAACCACCCGTTGCCCCGCTGGGAGAGTCCATTGCCAGGGGAGCCAAGAGGGCTGGGAGGGGGGAATCTCCCGGGGATCGCCGCCCGGCGCACTCCGGGGACGACTGGCGGCCACCGTCGGCGCGCCGCCTCGGCCATCAGTGCGGAGCGGCGCGGCGGTGCGGGCGGGCGGGCGGCGGGCGGGTGTTTCCTCCTTCGCCCGCCCCCCCTGTGAGGCGCGGCGCGGTGACGCGGCCCCGGGTCAGGGCTGAGGCGCGGCGGCACCGTGAGGCGCTGTCAGAGCCGCGCTGAGAGGGTCGCCCCGCTCCGCCCCGGGATCCGCCGCCGCTGCCATGGAGCCCCATCGCTGGCTGCCCCTGGAGGCCAACCCCGACGTGAGTGCCCGGCGTGGGCGGTGGGGCGCTGCCGTGTGCCCACCCGACAGCCTGCCTGCTGTGGGGCGGGCGGGAGGATGGCGGAGGCGCGAGGGCAGAGGGCTCCGGCCCGCGCCGGACCGCATCGTCTCCTAGGGGGTGGCTGGTAGTGGCGGGGATGGAGGAAGGTCTTATCCCGTGGATCCGACTGGATCTAACTCCCTTCTGTTTTCTTCTTTCTTTTCAGGTCACGAATCAGGTAAGAAGCTTTTATTTGAGGTAATCTTTAGTCTCTGCAACTTTGGGCCCATCTCCTCTGGTTTTCATATAGTAAAGGCTCCTTCCTGTCCAAGGAGAGTGCCCCCTTCCTTCCCCACGCGTGTCTGCGCTCAGTCTTCTCATGTCGGACCGTACTGGAACCTCTCCCATAAAGATGCTGAATGCAAGGAATAGGAACAAGTAAAAAGAGAATAGTTGTGGCCTGGCTATTACTGTAATGAAATCTCTGATGTTTTTGAAGGTGGGTTTTAATTCATTAATTAGCCATTAAAACGTTAATTTATATATAACGTGTGCCAAGCGTGGACCTGTACATGATAGCTTTGGGCACATGTACGGATCTGCTTACATCACTGTGTTGTAGTCTCATTCTTCTTTGGCTGACCATAAAAAATAATGTAATTTTACCATATTTGCACTTTGCTGCTTATTCATGACAATATGTGCATGACTGGTTGTTGCTGCCTTTGTTAGTGTGATAGAACCTATGCTAGAGAAAGGAAGCTTGTTCTAGTCCACAAAACAACGCTCCCACTAAATAAGCTCTGGCTGGAAGGAAATCACACACTCTAACCCTGCATCATGTTCTCAGCGTCAATTTTGAGCATAGCATTGATGGTCAGTTGATTTCAGCAGGCCTGTTTTTAATGTTAAAGATGGTGTTTAAGCCAAAGGGCTCTGAAACTTCCAGCAGCAAAATTGTATTCTTAAACCTATATTGTTGAAATATTTTGGAAACTGGGAATTTCTCTGTGTGAAGAATGTTTTGTTGTTTTTTTTTATTATGGTTGCTATAATATACAAACTACATTTGCAGGAGAGTGAAAGGTTATATGATGCTGGGTCATTTTGTGCTTTATAGTTTCCAAGGGCAAATAAATTTACAATTCTTACAGTATTGCTGTTGTGGAGTGATTTGAGAAGTCTATAATCCCAGTCTCCTGAGTTAAAATCGACAGTCTTTCCTGGGAGCCCATCTTGAACATGCGCTAGAGTTTCCTCTTTTGGTTTGCTGTTATTGTTCAGGGTTTTTGTGGGTTTTTTTCTTTTTTCTTTTTGTTTTGTTTTGGGGTTTTTTTGTATGTTTGGGTTTTTGGGGGTTTCGTTTGTTTGTTTGGTTGGGTTTTTTGTTTTGGGGTTTTTTTGTTTGTTTTTGTTTTGGTTTTTTGTTTGTTTGTTTTGTTTTGTTCTTTGAAATTCAGAGACTAAATTCCAGTTTGTAAGAAAATGAGTAAATGAAAATGAATATGAAAATGAAATGAGAAAATTAATAAATAACTAGTAAGAATTTCCAATTATCTAACTTATTCTGACTTTCCAGATCTTGAGATGAGCTCATCATGGTAAAAATTAAGACCACCTTTAAAGCAGAAATTGAGGAGGAAAAATTAGTGACATTTTTAAATCTGAAATATCTTGTGTGTTTATGTTGTGTGGAGAAAATCCTAGGGGAATGTCAAATGAGCAATTTTAAGTATGTTTAAAATCTATCTCTTTTACCCATTGATTTTGCATTGGTGATGGATGTATCAGTTGTAGATGATCATGGATAATAGGAATTTGTACTCCACATGGATTTTCTTGTTACTGTTTCTGTGTAGAAAAGGCCACTTAAAACCAATTAGACTTCCTCCTTCACTGTATTTTCCAATCTTGACTGAGCAGGGATTGTTATCTAGACTAAGAGATGTATATTAAAAAAAAAAAAAAAAAAAAAAAAAAAAAGGGTGGGTGTTGAATATGAATGCACCTTACATTATTAATCATTGTTCTTTTAATCTCATCAGTACGGTGATGAACTGTGTAGCAACAGGGCTGTTAGTCATAAGTTATTCATATCCTGCTTGTGTTTAAAACAGCAATAATAATAATTTGAAATTCTAATGAAGTTGCAAACTAATTTTTAGAAAATCCTGTTAATTGCAAGGATCGGCATTTCTTGTAGTACTCTGTACTATGCTCTGTAAAATATTCTAGAAGTCTTTCTAAAAAAATCCCAATTGTGTGCATCTACAAACTGTAATATTTGTGTCTGGTAGTCATTTAATACATGTATTTGGACAGACATCTAGCCAAGTGCCAAGTGTTTCTTCTTATTTGTTTGTTTTTTGTTATTTGTCTTTTTTTAGTTGAGTGCTAGACTATCCCTAATGCAAACTGCTTTTGTTAGTGTTAAAATTATTGCTAGATGTGGTAGCAAAGTCTTAAACAAAAAAAAATAAAATTCTAGTGAGCTATAAGATGCATAGATTCTTAATGTTAGATTTAATTATAACTATCATTCCAATTCTATAAGTGATTACACTGTTTTGATTACTGTGCCCATCATTTTATTCCCCCTATTAACAGTAACTAGTAAGGAAATGTACTAAATGCAGGTTCATTTGCTTTTACTATGTTCTCAACACATTGTCTTCTCTGGTTTTGTAGTATAGGCTGTAAATTTGAGGCTTTCAGTCTTTGCATTAGAAATTCAGATGTGTCCTGGTTTAGGGCAATTTTTGGGAGGAAATTTCTGAAAGGGTCTCCTCTAGAAAACAGATTTCAGTGGTCCCTCCCCCAGCTGTTTCAGGAGAGACAGATGATGGGGGTTCTGGAGCATACAGTCACCCCAGGACAAGATGATAATGGAAAACAATTGTATTTCTCAGTTAGAGGTATGTGAAGTCTTTCGAAAATATCTCAGAACTTCTTCTCTATCTGAAAGTGTTTATATTATAATACAAGTCTGGGAATTTGTAAATCCTTAATCTATATAGAACCTCTCTTTGTGTTTATGTGTTAAAATTATTTGAAGGTTCAGAAAATGGCTGGTAAGGCTAAACAGGAATCTTTCTTTAAAGATTTCCAGTGTGGTAGAAATCTGCCACGTGTCTGTAGTGGTGTTTTCAAAAGAGAAGACAGTCATTCAATGCAGCACACAGTGCTAGTTGTAATGAGTGAAGTCAGGAGTTAAATGTACCATACAGTGCTAAGTGATTGTCACTGTACTTTTTTTTCTCCTTCACTTCTACAGTCTGACAGAATGAATTGTTGTCTACCTCTGACACAGAAAGAGTTGATGATTCAGCATTTACAAAGCTCCATTTTGTGTACAGGGAATGGTTTCTTCTCTTTGACCTTCCACTGGGGGGCCTGACCTGACCAGTGCTACCCTCCTTCCTGGTATCTTATGGGATTTTCCTGAGAGAAAGCAAGAAAATCGTGTTTATTAGTTACCATGTATATGATGTTTGTGTAGCTTGTTCCCAATTCCTTCTGAAAAAAAAGACTGTGTGCAAATTTTTTGAAGTGAAAAGGTCAGAACACAAGCTGATTGTTCTTCATCATAATGTTGCTTCAATCTGACTTGCAACCCATAATTGATTGCCTAGGAAGTGTAGATAAGCAAAAAGTATTGGTGGATATTTTTTGATGCTCCACCTTTTTTCATTTTCCCTTTCGTCATCTTGTGCATTCTAAGACGTATCTCTGCTTCCTGGATAAGATAACATTTCAACTTATGCCTTCATTATATCCAGTTAAGGATAGAATAATTGACTGCATCTGATTATGAAGCTCAAACACTGGCTTCAGAGTTCAACTACTGAGTGTTGGCTGTGGCATGAGTTTCTCTTGCCCCATAGGACCTAGTTGCTGGTTCTTAGTTACCTTCCACCATTGTTTTTAGTCCTTTGGTCCTACTTTTTAGGGGGTTTGGGGTTTTGAGTTCTCTAAACCATTAAGGTGTTGAGAGTCAGCTGCATAAAGAAAATTATTTTAGCTCATGAACACCGTTGACAGCTGTGACTTGAAAGTTACAGGGACAGTAAAGCCCACAAAGCATAGAACAAATGGCAGAAACTGGATACAGCCAGTCTTTATCCATTTATGGAACATTGCTCTTCAGTATTTCAGGCAAATAGAGAGAAGAATTAAGTATCTTGGAAGCAGGCCTTAGTCTTTCAATTTCCTGGACTCTGAAACACTATCCCACAAGCTTTCCCAAATAAAAGCTGTAGTGATCAAAATAATTGTAAATGCAGTGTGCACAATTCCTGACGTGTGCTGGGAAGTAGCACTCATAGATTAGGTACTGAGGTACTGTCCTGGTGTAAAAGGATGTTGGATGTGGAGAAACACTGATGTCCTTTTAAAATGCCTAGCTAAGCTTACTTTATTTTGTTCTTTTCAGGTGAGGGAGTAGAGTTTAACTCTTCTGTGGTAAGCAGAGCGCAAACTAGTGGAGATAGTGTACATGCTCAGAAAACAGCCTGTTATTACTCTTGTAGCCTTAGAAGGTGGAAAACCAGGATTCATTTTGTCTTTCTGTAAAGATAATATCCCAGAAAGGCTTTCACAGAGCCAGCAAAGGGGGAATGTTGAGCCTGTGATGCTGCACAGCAAAGAATAAGCACAAGGATAAATATGAAGGAATTGTAGGTGACCACTGTGAGAACGCTTCCTGAGTGGCTTCTTCTAGTTTAAAATATTTCCAACTATGTAGCCCTCTGACTGAGTTTAAATAGGTAAATATGTTGCACAGGGAAAATTGTGACATGTTTTGGGGTTTAGAATACTATTTATATGAATAATTGAAAGATTGCCTTAGCTCAGTCTTTGTATGTTCTTCAGTAATTGAAAGCTAAGAAAAGCATGTATTTCATTCCTCTACTTGTACTTGCCACTTCTGGTCCTTCTTATGTTCTTTTTTGCTCAGTTTCTTAGTTCTTGTTACACAAGGAAGCCCTTACAGTCTTGAAGACAGAATGAGTGCTACAAAGTGGAAAACAAGTGACAGTTGTTCCTGCCTTATACATTATCTTGCTGCATTGAAAATGCTGTTTCCCACTTCAACATTTTCCTTGCTTAAAGGACCAGTAGAGTAGGTAGAATCCAATGGTTGTTTCAGTTAAGTGTAAAAAGAGAAATGTGTGTAACAGCTTATTTAGAAGAATGGATTGATCCAGCTCGTCCCTGTTATGAGTAACTTCTTAGATCATGGAAACAGCTCTGTTAAGTGTTTTTCACAGAGTAAAACAGTATCAACATGTCAGGACTCTGCTGAAAGCATTTTAAAGCTCTTGCTCACTGGTTTGGGAGGAAGCCTGGGTCAGCTGGTTTATCCAGATTTCTGAGTGCTTTTTTTTGCATTGCTGCCTGTGGGATGCCCTATTTGAATATGTACAGCAGTGCCTGGGCATACTGAGTGTTAAATTTCAAAACTGCTTTATGGATATGTGAAAAATATATACCTCTCATTTTGAAGAAAAGGAACACTAACTGTGAGTCAGTGTTGCTCATTTAGACACCATAAAGTAATGAATGGAGCTGGAAGGATAAGAATTTTGTAGATGTAAGTTTTCTCATATTTTGAAAAAAAATTTGTGATGGGCTGTATTCTTTGAACTTTATTATGGTGTCCCAAAGTACAGAACTTGAGGATATTAAAGAATTTGTAATAAATTTTGATTTTTTCCCAAGGAAGTCTGTTAAAATTGATCATCTCTTGTTTGAACAAGATCATACTGTGGCCATTCTTAAGTGAGGAGTAGTTGGTAAAGAAGAATAAGGTAGCTTATGTAAGTTTAAACTATCTCTACTCCTGGTATGCCTTTTGACCTGCTGTACAGAACTAAAGTTTTTGCAGCTGCTAAATATAACTGAAATGACGCTGTCTCCAAAATGTACTGAAAAATTATTCCTTCATTGTAATTACGAAATGTCATGATGAAAGAATGAAGAAATATATCTTTACAATGCTCCAACAATAAAATATTGTTTGGGTGGTTCCTTTATTTCTAGAAAGGAATTTCACTTTTGAAATAGACTTGGTTTTGTTACATGCTACTGGAAATGATATGTAAAGAATTAAAAGCAAAATATTGTGCATTTATATTTTTAATATAGATTAATAAGAATTGGATACTTTAAGAAACAAATAATTTCCCCTTTCTTGATGATAATTCAATCAGTTACATTTTACTCAATGTCTTACTACTATTAAGGGGAAAAATTACCTTCAATTCAATAAAGTGCCAAAAATTCTTGTGCTTTAATGTAAAAGTTAGAAAATATTGATTGTCTTAATTGGTTTATTTACATGTTGTCCTTCCAGTTTCCTAAATCCATAGGAGCACTTCATTTTTGCAGAGGAAAGTCTTAACTGTCATTTTGTTGTGATATAGAGAGGCTTTAATGCATTCAGCAGAAGTACAATAAAATGTAGATGCTGTCGGTGTTTGGTTTACATTTGTGCTTAGAAGATGATGGCAACAGTTGGTTCTTCCCACAGAAGCTCTCTTGACTTCTGCATCTGAGAGTCTGGAAATGTTTGTGCATTTTGCCAGTTTTATGTTTTCATGGTTTTATATAAATACCACAGTAAAATGTGGAAAAATCCAGGTCTTGAGTATAATGCCTTAGTATTTTAAATGTGACATTCCTGAACTATTTGCAAATGCTGTCTAACTTTAATTGCACTTGAATTTCAAACTCTGTTTTGTTTCAGTTTTTGTCCTCGCTTGGTTTTTACATGCAAGTGACACAGTAGAAAAGCACGTTGCTGCTTAGACAATATTTCAATTGTACACTTAGTACATAAGTTTATAATAGATTTCACCTTTAAGTTGTCTTGTCCCACTTACCCTTTTTCCATAAACCTTTTTCCATAAACCATAAATCAAATCTTCCTACTGGCTCTGTAACTGTGTTGGCAGAAGTAGAATTCTAAACTCATTAAAGATAACTGCTCTGTCCATTTTTTCAATGCCTAACAGTTAGTAGGCTGAAGTAGTGGTACCAGCAATGAAAACAGAGTAGCTTAAACCACATGCTGCATAGGTAAAGTGCCTAGAAGTGCCTATTGTAATGTTTTTGCTATTAACCAATATTTAGACATACAGATTTACAATTTGTGATCATTTAGAATAGAATGAGGTAGGTTGGAAGGGGCTTTTGAGTTCTGCAGACCAACCAGGCTCTGTTCAGAATAAGTTGCTCAGCAACCTGTCAGGTTCAGAATTTCTCAAGACACAAACTCCACAGTCTCCTGGACAGTTAGTGCTAGTGTTTTACTATGTTCGTTATTTTTTAGATTTATTTTTAAACGCCTTTCTTATCGAGTTCAAATTTCCGTGTATTTCAGCCTCGTTTCTCGTTTTACTGTTTGCTGAGATGAGTCTGTCTCCATCTTCTCTGTGCTCTCCCTTAGCTAGTTAAAAACAGTGGTAGTCAGGTGAGAAAGAAGGGCCTTCTGGAATATTGGGGCAAAAAAGACAAATTCATAGCAAGTGCAAATAAGGGTTAGGGATGTAAAATAGTTTCTAAAGTGACTTTTTGTCTACTGGTTAGATGGACCAGTGAAAAAACAGGAAGTGTTTTTCAGCAAGGTCTTTTAAGACAAGAAGCAAAGAGACAACTAAAACTAGGACAATAATCTGTAAAAATAAAGTTGTGAAAATGTGAAAATACTAGCTAGAGATGGGGGTGGGGGTGTTGTGCTGCTGTTGTTGTTCTTCCTGAGCTCCTCTAAGACTTCTGTAATTTAGCCAAGTTTTTTTTTTTTCTTATATTCTAAGGTAAGAGCTCAAAGACCTATAAATTAAGAATTGTCAGCTGTGTGATAATCAGTGTCTTTAAAAAAATCTGATACTCTCTTGTGCAGATCTAGAGAAATATGAAGCTGCTATTTTATATTCTCTTGCTTACATAGTATCAATAAGTTAAGAGAAAGTGAAGAGCTGAAAATGTGTGAAATGGCCTGCAGAGCCCCAACTGTTCTTTATAGTATTTGTAGAATAAAATTGCTTTGATAATCCCTAAATAATTGGAAAGGACAACAGTAGAGATCTCTTACCTTTTTAGACAGTGATGCTGTCTAAAAAGCATACTGAACTTCCTGCTGTCCTAAAACAGGAATCACTTTGTCTTCCCATCTTGCCATCTATTGTTCATCTGTTACCCATTTGTCACTCTCTCTTACACAGGGACTTAATGCTGCACAATTTTTAAACCTATATAATAATTTTCAAAAGGATATTTTTATCCTTTTTTCCCCAGACCTGAATGAAACCCTCTTGACACATGGAGAGATATCTTCTTTGCCTATTTTGGGTCTATCCTTAGTATTTTATTTTTGGTTTATAATTCTACAGTAGAGTTGTTAGTCTGGTTGTGTGTTAAGATCACTGCTTGTCATCCTAAGCCTAGGCTCTTGCTGTTCTCTGTAGTGCTGCCCATCATTTTTCCTTGTCACTCTCATTGTTTGCTGGAAGTTAAAGTTCCTCAGATTGTGAAGTTTCTAGGTGGTATGGCAACATGAATAATGGAAGGTGCCCTGTATCCATGGAGTTTTAGTTCCATTAAATTCTTAATTAAGGAGTTTGACTAAGCCATTCTTGGATTTAGTTAGTATTTTGTTGACTTGGGGTTTAAAGGGGTTGGCTTTATTTTTGTTAGTTGGTTGCTTGGTGTTTTTTTTTCCCCAGAGGTGTAAATCATTTATTTGTCCAGTAACTTAATTGGATCCTTTATCATTGTCTTTTCTGGTTTGTGGGGTCTTTTTCTGCGTGAGTGTTGTTTTTTATTTTTGGGCATTTGTAACTTTATTTCATGTAATTTTGCAAAATATCAAATTATATTGGAATGGAAAATGGATTTTTTTCAGTTGTGTTACTTTTCCTGCAACAAAAATGATAGATTAATTGCTGGTTTAATAAGAAAAGTACTAGAAGTACAACTAATATTCTAATGCAGCCATACATGTAGTCCCTTCTCTTTTGAATTGTTTTATTTTTTGCTGTTCACAAAGTGGTAGTTGTCTTCACAATGTAGAAAGTTAGAAGTTCAAAATACACTGTCTTCTGTTTTGTCATTTAACACTTCCCCTTTTCCCCATGTTCATTCAAAGATCTATATATGCCACAGTATACAATTAGTTTTTTCATGTAATTGTGAATGGCCTGTGTGTCTGTATAGTAACAACAGTTCCTGAATTCAGTTAGGTTCTTTCAGGCTGACAATGAGATTTCAAATTGTCTCAGATCATCTCTGTAGTTATTAACTCTGCAACTGTTGTTGTGATGCCCAGTTTACTTGAGTACAAGAAGAATATCCAATTTAAAAGTGAGCATCCAATCTTCAAAATATATTACTCCATCATAGTTCGAAGGGATTTTTCTTGTAAAAGGTACACCTACTAAAATGTGTATCTTGTGTGGTTTTGCTCCTAATGTCTTTTTGCTTGTAGGAGCTCCACTGGTGCCAGGTATTCTGAAGCCATGGAGTCAAATAATACCATGAGTTTGTTCATATGTGCTCTGACTGATGGCTTGATGATTTCTAGTTAATGTGAATATTCAGTGATCTTCTGTTTTGTGACAGAACACTTTTTAAATGGTTGAAATGCTTTAATGCTTCAGTAAATAGTGCTGGGAGTGTTTCGACTTTCCTTCCATAAGGACTATTTAAATGCATAAAACATGAGAATTTTGTGTGTGTTTGTGTGTAATTTATTCAGCCTTATTTATTAAAACTTGTATATCTTCTATTCTCCTTAAATTTTAGAAAGCATGAGCTGTTTTAATGTATTTCACGTTGTGGATACGCTGTTATGCTTCTTAAAAGTTAGGTGTTTGAATGCACCTGTTTAATATTATGCTTTTTTTTTTTCTTTTCCAGTTCCTGAAACAGTTGGGTATACATCCTGACTGGCAATTTGTAGATGTTTATGGCATGGAACCAGAACTGCTTAGCATGGTGCCAAGACCTGTATGTGCAGTACTACTTCTCTTTCCAATAACAGAAAAGGTAAATGTTTATTTAATAATCAGTTAATTGCTTTTGCCATAAGTGAAATGGGAATGAGTTTGAATCTTTTACTTTGGTGTCATATTAGAATCAATATGAGACTCAAGCTTTATTCAAGAGACTTCTTCATTAAAAATAATGCAAGAAAATGCTTCTTTCAGAACCTTCTTTTGCTAACCTTGCATGTATATTTCTGATTTCTTTTCAAATCAGCGTAGGAAAAGCTTATGTAGAAGCACAGAGAAATAAGCCTCACACTTTTCTATTACAGGCAGTTTAAGGTATTTTTAATAATAAGTGCTGTGAAATGGCTCAATTTGTTAATTTTAGCAGAAAGCTCCAATAGCATAAGGAAAATAAGAAATAGCATGTAGGACAATATGCAATTCCTTTTTAAGTTTTTGTCCTGTTACACTGACAATACTTCAGATTTCAATCCACTTCAATCCACTTTCAGTTCAGTCATCAGTATTGATGTCGCTTTCACTTCTTGGACAGATGGGACATATTATTAAGATTAAAGACAGTTTCCCCCTGTCTTTCACTATGTTGGACTTTGAAGAACTTGCTTTGGATAAACCTTCAACGTATTTATTTTGTGTCATCACATGCTTTTACATAGTGTGATTCATACTGATCTTTCAATTTATAACAGTATTACATGATTGTGATAAGGACAGCCAAAAAGGTTGAAGTGAATTTGTCCATAATTCATTCTTTTAATCTGCCTCTCAAAAATAATATGTAGCATATAAGGACAAATCACTTAGCTGTGGAAGCTTAACTTCTACAATAAAGAGGAATAACAGGTCAGTCTTCCTACACAGTATGTCCTGTAAACCTCTGTGTTCTCCGTTTCTCCAAAACAGCTATGCAGGCACTACTTTTCAAGCTTGATTTCAGCCACCTTGATAGTTTTGAGCTTAATCAAACTTTCAACTCACCTGTCTTCAGGAAATGTGCTTTCTGTCACCTTTAAGGAACTTTTTACAGTGTGCTGTCATTTGTGTCTGGTTGTTTGAGCTACAGGTCTGAGCTCCTTTCGTGACTGTCACTTTTCTTTTGACTCCCTGCTTGTGCAAACCTTTTTTTGGATCATGCTATGGGAGCATTATCCCATGGGAAAGAACACCTTGCACTTTTTCCAGAAGGTGTATCTGATTTCATCCTAAAGAAACATATGACAAACAAAACCAGAGAAACAACGTATGCTCTGTTGCATGGATCAGTCAAATCTGAGAGCCAGTCAAGTGTTCAGCATGTTAATCCTTCTGAAACACAAGGGACACAAGGGTTTCTATCAACTGTTTAACCGGCTGTGTAAAGGATGAATGTTTCATGGGAGGTCCCAGTGTTCTGAAGCTTTTGTTGGTCAATGTGAACTCTCAACACCTTTGAGCATTATTTTGTATTTCTAGAGTAGTTTTTCCCTCCTCAGCGTCCTTTTCAAAATGGCCTGTAAAATTACACTTTTATTTAATGATTTATTTTTTTCTTGGCTGTGTCTACTTTTATGAAAGTACCTATTAGTTCTGCTGCTTTTATAATTACTTTTTTCACATGTCTGTCTCTTCTCTCTGGAAGTTCAGTTGTTTTGTGGTTCCTGTATATCAGTTTCTTTGAACTTGCTTTTTAGGGCAAGCTACTCTTGTTAGCATACAGATTATTTTAGGATTGTTGTCCACTTTAAAGGTCAATGCCTTTCTTAGTCTGCATAGTAGGTTGTAGACAAAGTGAATATTGTGGATGTTGGCCATTTTGGGCCTATTGAATGAATATGAATGTAAATTATGGGATATAAATGAATATATGAATATAAATTATGGCATATAGCTTAGGTTAGGAGGAATCTCTTGAGGTGGTCTGGTCTAACTCTTGCTTAAAATTATATTTTTGGTATTCTCAGCATTTATATATTTATTTTTGCTGTGGATTTTATTTTAGTTGGGAGGGAATGAATGGCATCTGTATTGTTCACCTCTCTAGTCTGAACTTTTTGTCCAATTAAACTCTGAAATTTTTATCTCAATTAAGGCTGTTTTTTGTTAGCTTGTAGATAAACCAAATTAAAATGATTTATAATGCTCTTGCTATTACTTAGCCTATTCAGAACAGTGAGACAGTCTGCAAATGTGGAATATGATGCTGGGAAGGTTTTTTGGTTTTGTTTGTCACTGACAGTACAGAGAGCCCAAAGGAAATTTCTCAGGAGTTTGCGGGAAGAGTTCCTTGATAACATTCTGCATTCATACTTTACTTTCATCATATTTCTATAAAAAGCCCATCTCCTTCAGAATGCTTTTTTTGTCTGCAAAAGTACCTAGTAAAAGAGGCAAAGGAGAAAGCATTGTCTGGAACATTTGTGGATTTATTTATTTATTTTTCTGTTTGAAATTAAAATTTAAAGAAAGAAAATAAACAAAAACCTCAAACAAATCCAGTCAAAAAAACCATAACAAGACCCCCTGCAAAAGAACCAACAAATCGCAACCAGCAACAAAAAAAAGCACAAAACCAACACTATTGTGCAATATAACAGATTTTAGTCAAATACGATCTTTATAAAACAAGTACTTTAGATTGTTCAGTCAAGGCAAATTCTCTTTTTGCTACAGAAAATAAAAGTTTGCTTTATGAACATGGCTTTAGAAGGGCCTGTTTTGAGGGTGTTATATAGATCTTATTTTATACACCTGGGAAAAATTAAATGTAAGAGTGGAATTTTTAAAGAATGCTTCATGATGATTAATCACCTGAAGTATTATGGTTTTCTTGATAGCACTTTGACAGGTCTGTCCTTAAAAAGCCTTTAGTTGCATTGAAGAGAATTGGTGACATGAGCTGAGATCAAGGAAATACTTATTTTTGAAGTTAGGTTAGATAACACATTCAAAATGATGTTGCAAGTGTGAAGGCGTTGGGTTAAGAAACAGTATAGAGCAGTTCAGGTAAGTTTACATATACTTGTTGGACCATGTGTTAAACATCTGAAGTGGCAACATTAATTAGCTGTTGTGTTTTAGAAGTTGTTTTGTCTTGAATTATGTAGCTATTTGTACTATTTGTGAAATGTCTTTTACTTTCCTTCTAGTATGAAACCTTCAGAACAGAAGAAGAAGAGAGGATAAAAGCTAAGGGACAAGATGTCAAATCATCAGTGTATTTTATGAAGCAGACCATTAACAATGCTTGTGGAACAATTGGGCTAATTCATGCTATTGCAAACAACAGAGATAAAATGAACTTTGGTAAGATTTTTTTTGGTTTGGTTTTTGTTGGCTTTTCACTTTTTTTCCTCAACTGTGGGAAGCCATGGAGGGAAGGGTATGTTTTGTACTATTTTCTTTTAATATAACCATTCATAAAGGGTAAAGCAGTGTGTCTTTACCTAAAATTACAAAAATAATATTTTATACTAATTTATGAACTAAAGCACTTGAAATATTGCAAAGTGCAGCAGGCTGCAGTTAACCTTGCAGTCAGCCTTCTGTGTCTTAAAAATATGGTGCAATTCTATCTTCAGATCTTTTGTTGGATTCTGTAAGCTGTGAATGAAGTTGGAATTTAAACATGACACTAATTATGTCTTTTTTAAATTTTTTAAAGAAACTAATTCTTCACTGAAAAAGTTCCTAGAAGATTCATTATCTATGACTCCTGAAGAGAGGGCCAAATACCTAGAAACTTATGAAGTTAGTATCATGTGTTTTTATTTTTATTAAAATGGTGTAAGAATTACTTGCATGAGCAGGTACTGTCCTTGGGGGTTGACTTGGTGAAGCACCTAAACGAATTTGATTTTACAGTAAGCTTGTGATCAGACAGTTGCTACAAAGGAAGCTCTGCTTTGGTATTTTAAAGTATTCCTGCCTGCCCATAGCTCAGTTAGCAGAATGGATTTTGTCAATGTTCTCATCCATGTTAATTCTCCCTGGCTTAGTTTAAAATTATTTTGAAATGCATGAGAAATGTATGCCTGTTCTTTTTTTTTTTTTTGTGGGTTCAGGATGTAGTTTAATAGCCAATTTAAGATGATCTGGGTCTGTTGCTGAAAGGATAGTCCTTTTGCTGCCTCCTTTAATTTGTGCCTTCTAGTCATATCTCCATGCCTTAAGCAGTTGAAGCACACAAAGAGCTGATTTGGCCAAAATACGATCTCCTTCTCCTACCATCCTAAACCATGAGATGAACTAGCTGATAATGTGGTTAGCCACATCATTAGTGCTGTTTGAAAGGATGTGGCAGAAACATCTGGCCAGTGGTGGATGGAGAACAGTACTGTTGCTCCTGATGATAATGATGGTCATCTCTCAAAATGAAAACTTTGATGATTTTTGTATCAGAGTTCACTTCTAGCATATTGTGAAGCCCTCAGGAATATGAGTGTTAACATCTGATTAAAGGAAGTAGTAACAAGCAGAAACAGCAGAGATTTATGACATTTTCTATGGAAATATTGGACATAAAATGACTGATCAGAGCTTTTATCTAAATTATTTTTTCTGCTCAAAATAATAGATAAAAAAAATGCTTGTAGTGTTTTCTGTGTGCAAAAGTGCCTCACAAACTCTCAGATATTTGATCTTAATTGTCTGTTATGAAACTGAAATAGTGGTCTTCTGAGATCCTTGGAGGTGGAGATTATTTGTTTATTATCTTTCTTATTTATTAAAAGCACAGAACAAAAATAATTACATCTATGCAATTGATAAAATTAAGTGCAAAAATGGTTCTTACAACACTGAAAGTCTGTCATTTAAAGTCTGATTGAAATATATTTTAATTTTAGGCTATTCGTGTCACTCATGAATCCAGTGCCCATGAAGGTCAGACTGAGGTATCCACGTTTTTTAAAAGTCTTTGTTTATATCTACTTAGAGTTGAATATCATTGACATGAAAGCAATCATATATTAAGGGTTTACAGTGAAATTGAGATTATTGCTTGGTTTTCAATATTGTGTCATTAATCCAAAATTAAGTGGCATTGTTGTGGGGGAAACCAAACTTGAAGCTTGGGGCCTTTTTGTTTGTTTGTGGGTTTTGGTGATGGGGTTGTTTGCATTAGGCTTTTTAGCTCTCATATGAAAGCATGAAAGCTCTTTCTAAGCTGTAAGATTCATAGTAACCATACAAGTGTAATGAATGTTTTATGAAAGTTTGAAAAGTTATAATTCAGGAAAAGAAATAGTCCAATAGTTGGTTTGCAGTTGTGTGTGAGCTGTTTGTATACAATATAAATTCAGATAAGTTCTCAGTCATGCATACATTTATAAGCATTTATGCCCCAACAGATTGTGTGATATGGAAAAAAACAACCTGGGACCTGACAAAAAAACCCCTGAAATAATTATAAGCTTGAATATTCAACATTTTTGTGCTTCAGTCATACTAAGTCAGTTTTCCATCTTTCTGGTTCAGATTTCAGTATCTGTTCCACTAAAAAAAAAAAAAGGATTATTATGATTATTGTTAGGACTGCTTTGTTTGACAGAAAGAGAAGCACTTCTATATTTGACTGTGGCTCCAGTGACTCATCCACTCTCTCTTCAAGTGCAGTAGTTTTCTTTTTTTTTGTGCAGTGTCTTCTATACAGTGTAGAAAAAGCAAAGCAGTCCTTTATGCTCCCCCTTGCCCTGTGCAGAAATGGAAATGATGAGAATTGGTTTAACTATTTCTGTTATATACTCAACTTCCTTTGTAGTATTTTCTTTAAAAAACCACACTTCTCTCTCTCATCTCATTCCCTAAATTAGTCGAGGTTCTATATTTCGAGAAGAAGCATCAGAAAAACTTTGTGTTTTTTCCTTTCCTAAGACACTCAAAAAAATCTGTTTTTTTTATTTTTTCTCAAATGAGTCCATTTCTAGATATCCTTGGCCAGCTCAGAAAGAGTGATTATTCCAGCAAATTGCTGAGGACTGAATCTTTTCCTAAGATCCTTGTGAAAGAGAAACTTCTTCAGTTATTTTGATGTACTGTGAGGTTCATGTAGGGAACGATCTGTCTCTGCTTTCTTCTGGCAGATATTGTGGAATGATTGGGAAACAAAATTCAAGGGCTGTGTGTTTTGAGAATCTTCATGAAGATTCAGGAAGCACCTAAGTGATGATGGAATCTCCTAATAATGGACAGTTAACTTCTTGAACTTCCACTAATTAATTTGTTTCCTGATCAAGATAGCCACAATACAAAAGATTAATAATTGTGTGGAAAGATGAAGACTTCTTTTCATAATAAAAAATTACAAGATTGTCTTAGCAACCATGCCTAAACACAGATATTGAATAGCTAGTTTCCTTGCCAATTATTTATTATTCCATTTTGTATAATTCTATCTGTAAGTAATTCAATATGGATATTCCTTAGATTGGCGAAATAACTTTTTCCTGTCTTTTTGTTTCCAAAGTTGAAATAGTACAAAGACTGAACACATTTCCCAGGTTCATTTTTTCAGAATAGTTCTCATCCATCAACCAAGGAGGGAAGAAATAAACAAGTTTTATTACTGGAACATCAAATTGCCTGGAAATCCTGTCCTACCAGATGGTAGTTAAACAAGGCATCAAGGCCTCCCAATTCGTTGGTACCTGATGACTTACTTTACTTTAAAGTAAAATTCTTTTTAAGTGAAACAAAATATGAAACATGAATATGCTGAGAAATGTAACTGAGAGTTGAAGTGAGTTAATATCTTCTACCTTCCATGGGTACATTTTAAATGTTACTGTACTCTTAAATCTACTGTGTGCTTTAACCATGCAGTGGTTGATGGGACTTATAAACAGCATGGTTTTGCAGGTGCTGAAGTTACCATATGCAGGTCATAGGAGGTTGTTGACTTGCCCTGTGGGGTAAGTTGAGGATTTCTAGCACCTTTTGGGAAAGAAAGAAGAGAATCCTATTTCTCCTGCATCTTTGTTACTTGTTATGATTACTTTCCCAAGAATTTAAAGTTCCTGTAAGAGCACAGGAAAGGAACATGGTTGCCTTCCTGTGACTGGGGTTTTTGACCTCCATGTACCCTCTCAACTGTCCAAATAGTCAAAGCACGTTGCATAGAAATCTTTCCTTTGAGTAAAGTGGCTTATTTAGTTGCTTAATGATAGTAAGTGGTGTATAGTTAGTGCTTTGTGAACAAAAAGTCCTTTCTAAGTCTCTTACAGGTTTAAAGATTAAGAAAACATGCAGGCCTACTTTTGCGTAGGGTGGTTAACTTAGCTTGTGTTCTTCACAAGAAAAGCCTGCTCTATGGGTAGTGCTGTCCCTTGGATAGGTATTGCATACTACTGTCCACTCACATTTTTAGAAAGTCTTGCTTAAACTTACCTGTGTTAGACAGAGTAACTTCCAAAAGTGGCATGGATTGTAGTCAATTCCACTGATTTGTTTCGGAAGGAAGGATGTTTCCTTCCACCATGAAAAACATACCATCATACCATCGAGATAAAGTTAAATTTTCTGGAATTGTGAGCTGCAGAAGGTTTAAAAATAGCAAAGTGCAGACAGGTTATCTTCTGATAATACTGTTTGGTGGGTTTGGGTTTTTTACCCTGGCTTCTGGTGTTCCAGATATTTGAGGATTCAGTCTTTAATACTTCTGAGTAAAGTTTTTATTTGTTAATTGCCCTTGACAGTCTTGCTATGTCTTCACAGACTTTTTTTATAATCTCAGTGACTTCTTAGTTTTAACAATATGCTGATGCATTTTCTGCCTTTTTTTTTCTGTTTCATGTACATAAGTATTTCAAACCGCAAAATAAAGCAAGTCTAGCTAGAAATAAGTCAGAAGTAATAATGCTGTGCTATCTTCCTCGTATCTGTGTATTCTGTCATCTTGTCTGGTGGGTAGGATTTGTTTCTGTTTTAGTATAATCGGAGATTTTTTTTTTTGCTCCTAAATTTCATATGTTTTAAAGAGTTCTTCTCAGGGGGAAGATAACTTGGCAAGTTATTACTTGTAGTGGGCTTCTAGATTCCAAATGGTGACTGGTGGAATTCACAGTGATCAGTTTGCTTCTGGGATGTATCATTACTGTGGGATCTATTTGGCTGAACATGAGGATGAATTGCTAAGCCAGTGGATTGAAGATGAAAACTATAGAATGTTCTGCCTCAATGGGTACTTTAACAGGCTTCTTGAGTTTGATAGCTATTTAGTTTGAAAAAACCTAACTACTTTTCTTAAAATTAAAAGAGATTTTTTTGCCTTTCAAGGAGATTAAACTTTTAAGAACTGTTAAGCAGTTTTCATTTTGATAATTCATTTCAAGTGTGCTAATTAAAAGGGTTGTAAATTTGCCTTTAATCTTAGAGGCCAGGTTTTGGACCATGTTCTGTTAATACTTCTGGATTGTGTTGCTCCATGTCTCACTTTATTGCTACAGTAGAGCAAATAAATAGCTAAAGCAGTCTTACGGGTACTTTTTAATGGATGCTTCTGTGTAGAAAGTGTCGGTCTTTTAAAATTACTTTGGTAGCAAGCAGTAAGATCTGGGAATGGTTCCACAGAAGAAGTGTCTTGTTGGCTTCAAGGGTGGTTTGATTCTGATCTCATGTTCAAGTACCATAATGAGGCAATTAATGTAAGATTCCAGTAACTATTTCTGTTGAAGTCTATGATGGTGAAGCTTACACCTTCTCAAATGATGGTATTCCATATCGAAAGCTACCATAAAAAAGCTTTACCTTAAAGCTTCATAGATTCTGTGTACTCTTCTCTGTGTGACAATTCCTGAACTGCAGATATTGTTGAGAGTAGAATAGGTGCCAGGTACTCAAGATCCTCTTTATTCTTCTATGAGTCTTCTGCTGAGCATACATTCTGTTTATAATACCTAGAATGTCTTAAGACGTGGAAAATGGAACCTGTTTCTTTGCAGAACTGTACACGCTTTTAAGCTGATCCTTATTTGATTTGTGCTGAGCCATCTTTGAGTTTTCACTTTTGTTTTGCATATAGGGTTTTTTCCCTTCTTCTGATGCCTCCTTGAACATTTCATAGGTTTTGAAACCCTGTATTGCCACACACCTTAACATTTCTGATACTCTCTTGCAAAAAAACAAACACACCCTCTCTGTTTGAAAAACCACAACTCTTCAAAAATATTAAAATGACAGTTTGTGGATCTGCATTAGCTGTCTAATCAACAGTGATCAATAAATAACTAAGTTATGGCAATATTTGAGGGAGTAAAAGTACTAATTTGTAGCAGTGATCAGGATTAGGTTCATATCTTTTTTTTTTTGTATTGTAATCTTGCATTCCCTTACTTTCAAACAATTGTAGTAACTATTTGCAAGTAACAGATTAGAAAATCTGAGGGGAACATTTTTTGAGAACAGGAAAACATTATTAAATGAGAAAGACGTCCAGGTCTAGAGTCTGTAGCAGAGTAAATGAATTTTGAAATTGGAGGGGGAAGAAACTTATTTTGTATTCTACCCCCTAATTTGCATTAATAATATAAAGTTACTATATAGTTGCCTGGGAGAATAGGAGAGGAGGAAAATGCAAAGGCACACTTTGTGTAGAAATAAGCCAGTAGAAATTGTTTGGCTCAATTAAAGAATTACATGCTTCAGGGAAGTTATTCCAGGTGATGCCTTGGGGAGCTGGAACACAGGTTACACAAAGAGTTGAGGGGAATAAAATGGGTACTTATTGAGAGGCCTACAAAAGGCCTACAAAAGCCACACCCTAGCAGTATGAGTACCACAGTTGTGGCCCCTGCCTGGATGGCTCCAAGATGGAAGCAAAGGAGGGCTTGGTCACAAAATCTCACACTTTTATAGGTTTTGGTTAATTTGCATAAACCTGCGCTTCTCTTTCCACATT